AGACACTTATCAAAAATAATCCACCACGACCAAGTGGCTTCATCCCAGGGATGCAGGGATGGTTCACAAACGAAATCTATAAATGCAATTCACCACATAAACAGAAGCAAAAACAAAGACCACATGATTCTTTCAATAGATGCAGAAAAAGCTTTTGACAAAATTCAACACCCTTTCATGATACGAACACTGAAGAAGATAGGCATAGAAGGGACATACCTAAAAATGAATACAAGCCATATATGACAGACCCATAGCCAACATCATACTGAATGGGGAAAAATTGAAATCATTCCCGACTTAGAACTGAAACCAGAAAGGCTGCCCACATCTACCCACTTCTGTTCCAAACATAGCTGCTGGAATTCTTGGCTACAGCAATCAGACAGGAAAATGGAATCAAAGGTATCCAAATAGGGGCAGAAGAGATCAAATTTCACTGTTTGCTGATGATATGATATTGTATCTAGAAAACCCCAAGGTTTCAACCAAGCAAACTCCTGGAATGATCAATGAATTTAGTAACAGTCTCAGGATACAAAATCAATACACAGAAATCAGAGGCATTCATATACGCCAACAACAATCTAATTGAGAACAAATCAAAACTCAATTCCCTTCACAATAGCAACAAAGAAATTAAAGTTCTATGAATATACTTAACCAAGGATAAAAGAACCTACAGGCAGAACTATGAAACACTGAGGAAGAAATAGCAAGAGATGTAAAACAGATGGAAATCCATACCATGCTCGTGGATCGGAGACTCAATATCATCAAAATGTCTATACTACCCAAACTGATCTACAGATTCAATGCAATACCTATTAAAATTCCATCAGCATTCTTCACAGATACTGAAAAAATAATTTTACACTTCGTATGGAACCAAAGAGGACCCTGAATATCAAGAGCAATTCTAGGCAACAAAAACAAAATGGGAGGCATTAATATACCAGATATCAAACTATACTACAAAGCTGTAGTAATTAAATCATATGGTATGGCATAAAAATAGGAATATTGACCAGTGGAACAGATGTGAGAATCCTGATATAAAACCATCCTCATATAGCCATCTCATCTTTGACAAAGCAGACAAAAACATACGCTGGGGAAAAGAATCCCTTTTCAATAAATGGTGGTGGAAACTGGATAGCCAACTGTAAAGGCTAAAACAGGAACCACACCTTTCACCCTCAACAAAACCAACTCACACTGGATAACAGACTTAAACCTAAGGTATGAAACTATTAGAACCCTAAGGAAAAGTTGAAACACTCTCCTAGACATCGGCCCTGGCAAAGATTTATGAAGAAGTCCCAAAGGCAATCACAGCAGCAACAAAAAAAATAAATGGGACATGATCAAACTACAAAGCTGCACAGCAAAGAATAGTCATAAAAGTAAACAGACAACCTACAGAATGGGAGAAAATTTTTACTCCTATGCATCCGATAAGGGACTGATAACTGAATATTCTTAGAACTCACGAAAATCAGGAAGAAAAATCAAATACCCCATTAAAAGTGGCAAAGGAATTGAACAGAAATTTTTCTAAAGAAGAAGAAGAATGGCCAACAAACATTTGAAAAATGCTCAACATCTCTTAATCATCAGGGAAATGCAAATCAAAACCACAATGAGATATCACTTAACCCCAGTGAGAATGGCCTTTATAAAAAAATCTCCAAACAATAATGCTGGCGTGGTTGCGGAAGAGAGAGGAACACTCCTACAGTGCTGGTGGGACTGCAAACTAGTTCAACCTCTGTGGAAAGCAATATGGAGATACCTTAAAGTAATACAAGTGAGTCTACCATTTTGATCCAGCAATCCATTGCTGGGCATCTACCCAAATGATCCAATGACACTCTACAAAAAAGACACCTGCACTCGAATGTTTATAGCAGCACAATTCGTAATTGCAAGGCTGTGGAAACAGCCCAAGTGCCCATCAATCCAAGAATGGATTAATAAAATGAGGTATATGTATACCATGGATTTACTATTCAGCTCTAAGAAACAATGCTGATTAGCACATCTTATATTTCCTGGTTAGAGCTGGAACTGATACTACTAAGTGAAGTATCCCAAGAATGGAAAAACAAGCACCAGATATATCTCCAGCAAACTGTCATTACTGGAGTTAGCACCTAAGTGGACACATAGGTACTACAGTAATAGGGTATTGGGCAGGTGGGAGGGGGGAGGGGGGCAGGTATATACATACATAACGAGTGAGATGTGCACCATCTGGTGGATGGTCATGATGGAGACTCGGACTTTTGGGAGAAGGGGGGGAAATGGGCATTTATTGAAACCTTAAAATCTGTACCCCCATAATATGCCAAAATAAAAAATATATATATATACATATCATGAAAATATATTAAAATATACCTAAAAATAAAAAATGAAAGAGGAATTAAAGTGTTCTAAATTTCTAACATTTTCTGAAAGAGTCTAAATTATAATGTTTAGGCATTAACTAAAACAATAATAAAAAATATATATGTAACAATCTAATAGAGGGAATATGAAATAATAAAATATATATTTATTAGAAAGAGTAAGGAAATAAAGAAAACAGAACACAAAAGCTAGTATATTGAGAAAAAGGACTTTAAAAAATATTATGTCAACTTTTAGAAAAATGTGGTTTTTTGCAGTCTCTACTGCAAAAAAGAATTAATTTCAAAATGGGTAAAAGACGTAAAATGACACTGCACCAAAGGAGATATACATATGTATACTGATATACACACCTATTAGAATGGTAAAATAAAAGATATCAACAATACTAGACACTGGCCGGAATAAAGAAACTGGGTCACTCATACAAATCAGTGGGAACATAAAATTATACAGTCACTGTGGAAAACAATTTAGCTGCTTCTTAAAAGACAAAGTGTGCCATTATCGTAAACCCAATAGTTGTGATCAAGTATTTTATCAAAGAAATCAAAATGTATATTCCCACAAAAATCTATATACAAATATTCATAGAATTTTTATTTAAAATAGTCAAAAACTAGAAACAACCCAGATGTCCTTTAAAGGATGAATTTTTTAAAGTGTGATACATCTCAACCATGGAATACAACTCAAAAAAAAAAAACAAAAACAAAAGGAGTGAACAATCAAAAAATAAAACTACTTGGAAAAATCTTCAGAGAATTATGTTAACTGAAAAAACAGACACATGGACCAATGGAACAGAATAGAGAACCCACAAATGAATCCATGCATTTACTGCCAGCTCATCATTAACAATGGGGCCAAGAACAAATAAACAGCAGTCTCTTCAATAAATAGTGCTTGGAAAGCTGGCCAACTATATGCAAAATAATGAAACTAGAACTCTCTCACCATACATAAAAATCAACTCAAAATGAATTGAAGACTTAAATTTAAGACTTGAACTTATGAAAATACCAGAAAAAAAATCAGAGAAACCCCCAAGATATGGGTTTGGGAAAATTGCTGGTGTAAGATCTCAACAGCACAGGCAACAATCACATGGAATCACATCAAACTAAAAACGTTCTGCACAGCAAAGGAACTAATCAATAAAGGTAAGAGACAACTGAAAGCATGAGAGAAAATATTTGCAAACTATCCATCTGACAAGGAATTAATAATAAGGGATTAATAAATAATAATAAATAATAAATTAATAGCAAAAAAGCCAAATAAGGGATTAATAATTAAATTATAAGAAAACCCAAATAATGCAATTAAAAATGGGCAAAAGATTTGAACAGACATTTCTCAAAAAAAGATACCAATGGCCAATAAATATATGAAAAAATGATGACATCACTAATCATCATGGAAATGCAAATAAAAATTACAGTGAGATATCATCTCACCCTATTTGAAATGGCTTTTATCAAAAAGACAGGCAATAATATACTGGTGAGGATGCAGAGAAAGGGGAACTCTCATACACTGTTGGTGGGAATGTAAAAGTACATTATGGAGAACAGTATGATGATTCCTCGAAAAACTATGACTAGAATTACCATAAGATCCAGAATTTTTACTACTGAGCATATACCCAAAAGAATGGAAATCAATGTGTCAAAAAGACATCTGCACTCCCATGTTTATTGTAGCACTATTCACACCAGTGTAAATAAGGAATCAACCTGAGTGCCCATCAACGGCTGAATGAATAAAGAAAATGTGGTATGTATATATGTGTGTGTGTGTGTGTGTGTGTGTATATATATATATATATATATATATAATGGAATATTACTCAGCCATAAAAAAGAATCAAATCCTGTCATTTGCAGAAACATAGATGGAACTGGACATCATAATTTAAAGTGAAATAAGCCAGGGTCAGGGAAACAATTATCACATATTGTCAATCATATGTGGGAGCTAAAAAGGTGGATCTCAGGAAGATAGAGAGTAGATTGTTAAGTCACCAGAGGGTGGGAAGGGTAGGGGGTGGGGAAGATGAAGAGAAGCTGATTTATGGGTACAAATACAGAGTCTGATAGAAGAAAGAAGACCTAATGTTAGATACATCAGTAGGACACCTATAGTTTACCATAATTTATTATATATTTCTAAATAGCTAGAAAAGAAGAATTCTAATGGTTCTAGCATAAAGAAAAAACAAATATTTCAAGTGATACATATCCCAGGTATATTGATTTTATCTTTATAAATTATATGAATGTATTAAATTATTACATGTACCCTAAAATTCAGTAAGATTACAGAGTGTAGAACTCCATTCACTGTTCTTGAAATGACAAAACAATATACATGAAGAGTGGATTGGTAGTTGTGGAGATCAGGGAGGTGGTGGGGAGGTGGGCAGGGAGTGCCAGTGCACTTACAGAAGGGCTGCAGGAGGGTGCTTGTGCTGAGGAGCTGTTCGCACAGAACTGGACTGTGCTACAACCAGAAGGCTGGATTATATTAAAAGGTCTCTTTTGTAATTGACAAAAAGTCAGAGCTTAGGAACATGGACTCACCGGCTCAGATCTGTCCCGGGCACATACTGAGAGAAGCGAGAGTGAAGCAGAGGGATGAGTCTGAGATCGCACCACCGCTTTTCCCACCTCAAGCCTGGAGACGTTGGCCACGAGGAACATGATAATGTGTCCTGAAAAGAGTACAAACATTCAGAACTGCTTTTTAAATTTTCTTCTATGTTTTGAATATCTATGTCACAAACCCTGTTCATCTGAGATTTGTTTTTCCTAAATGATCAAAAAGACTTTTATAGAATACCAAGAGAAAAAATCCATACTACTGACACTACAATTGTACTTGTTAAGTCCTTTATTAATAGAATCCTATAAGAAGTGAGAAAGGAATCGCTGAGATAAAGAATGCTAGTGAAAATATATTTTAAAAATGGGGTGGGAAGAAGGAAGAAAAGGATCAAAGTGTGACAGAAGTTTGAATTCATTCAAAAAATTCATTCAAGAATGGGAAAATGGGACAGAACTGTGACTATAATGAAACAGTAAGTGACAAAAATAAAAACAAGCTCTAGTTCATTCATTTAGCCAATTACTTTAGTGTGAAGCACCATTTAAGTGTTTGTAATTTATCAGTTACTTGCAAATATTTTAAATAGAATGAACACACCTATTAAAGAAATTTGCTCATTGTTGACCTTCATGTTTATAAAAAGTTTATACTTTCTTATATTGCTTTAATGTCATGTTGAACCAACTAATGCTGGTTTAAAATGACACATATTTTAAGTTTTTTTAGAATTTTTTTCTGACATAAGAGACTCATATTTGAATAAAATTTTGGCTTTTTCATTTAATATTGACTTTCATTATTTTAACTTCACCTTTGCAATTTCTCTGTAGCACTAGAACACAGAATAATGTTATGTTTAAGTTGGCATCTGCTGTAAGTGGGTCAAGGCTCAATGACCAGGGAACTCTGGATCTTGTTTCCTCTTTATTCACTAATCAGAGTGATGGTGGTAGAAGGAGATTCTATTTTCATCTAGATGTTAAAACTGTTATCTAAATATTATTAAGCATTACTTCGAATATTAATTTTTTAAATGCTTAGGAAAAGAAAAAAACTAAAGGTTCTATGTCCCTTGGCATTATTTATTATGTTAGTTGTCACAGGTTGTGCAAACAAAAATGTTCTAAGTTTGTGGAGCAGTTAATAACACCTGGAAGGGTGAACTGGCTGAGATTGTTTAGTGAGGAGTCCCTGTAGGTGACCTAATAGGTACCTCAGGCTCTAAGCCACCTGTCCTTTGATGCCAGACAGTTGCTCTGAATGCTTATCCGATGACTATAAAGGCACAAGCCTAGGTTTCATGCTAGTCTTTCCCCGGGCTTCATGTCAGACATTGTAGGTAGTCAGTGCAAGGTCTGGCCTGGGGTCAGTTCCTCTCATCAGATGCTATGGGGGTCAGTTGGAGAGCAATACAACAGGGTAGTGAGGGGTCAGTTTGCAAATCAGAATCGGACCACTTAAGTCTGAATCCCCATTTCCCACCTGACTATCCGTTAACCTAGGGGCAAGTTACTTAAAGTCTCAGTCTTACAATGCCAGTCTTCAAAGCAGGGACAATAATAGTAACAACAGGTAAGATTATAGAGATAATTGAGTGAGAAAGTGCTTAGACTACAGCCCAATGAAAGAGCTTCATGCTATTTTAAATATTTTTAAAAAGCTATTGGAAAATTAACATTGCTCATAACAGCAGGCTGATTAGAAATATAGCTTTGTAGTGGTAAGTAAAATATGGAAAATAACGTAGTTTCAAAAACAATAAGCTTGGATAACAGAGAAAATTACTTCTAATCATGAGACTTCTAGGAAGGACATTCTTACTTATATGAGCAATAGTATTACCTACTGTGACTGCTACTGGTGATATTGATAATACTTACCTATATCAATGTTTGCACATTTTACCTAAAACCCTTGCAATATCTCTGAAAGACAAAGCTATTGCTATGTTTATCTTACAGAGGAAAAACTGAAGCTTTTTATTGCACTTTATTATTGCTATCCCACCTTTTCTTCATGAGGGCACATGAGGTAGACTCAGGTAAACACACCAGATTTTTTTGGCTAGGCCAGAGCTGAGTACAGGGATTGGAACTAGCCCAAGTCCCCACAAGCTGCCCTATGACAAGGCCCATATTGGCATGTGGCTGAAACCCACTCCTAGGACCCTGGAGCATAGGTGCAGTGCTGAGAAGTTCTATAGTAAACAATCTAACCAAGGCATTCAGCCAGCAAATGATAGCCCCAGGATTCACTCAGAGGGACACCTCTCTGACTCCAGAGCCAACAAATCCATCTCAGCACAACATTTAACCCTCATAATCAGAGGGAAACAATGAAAGGAATAATTCAGGTTTTTTACTTGATTATTCACACTTTTATTGTATAATTTTAGGCATATTATTTAAATATGGTTCCTCATCTTTCATAAAACATAATAAATAACTCCTCTCACATTTTATGTTCCATGAACGAATGGGATAGAAAGTGTCAAAGATAATAAAAGGCATAAGCAATGAAATATTGAGGACAATGACAATCACTAGCAGGTGAGTATAACTTTAACAAATAATATTGACAGATTTCATAGATTGACAGGTATGAAAATATATGCAGCCATGGACATGTCTTTGTTGTAGCATTTTGACTTGATGCCTTTCTGTAGCAAAGTTATAAATGTATCACTTTCTTTTATGTTTCTTCCTTGTAAGAAATACGAAACAAGTCCCACTTGTTTGTTTGACTTATCAGGGTTGATGTATTTCATGTAATAGACCTGTTATTTATAGTAGAATACCTACAATTCATTAAGGAATTTCTATCCTTATTTAATTATATAAATATAAATTTGCTTTTTAATCTTTTTATTGGAATACTAGTCAGAACTATTTGGATTGTATAAAGGTAATCTAAAAGCAAAATGCAAAATCATTTTTAGAGAATCATGACTATTTTTCAAAAGCTTTCTACAATGTCAAGAATGTTGCTTCCCAAAATATTAATAATGTGAATGGAAAAAGCAGTATTTATGAACTCTTTGCTTTAAAATAGACTCTTTTCCCAAAACTTAACACAGGACACACAATATCCTCAAGAACAATTATCTTACCAAAATGGAATTACCTGCAGGGCAATGTGCTGATCCCCCTTTTGTTAAGGATTTGGCATGAAAAGTATTTGTTAAAGGTGTACAGTTAAGAAAACATTTCTCAGAATCTGGTTAGTTGATTACCTGAATCAGAGTCTTCCAGTGAGCCCAAAACACACTCCTTTTCTCCATCTCTGGAGAGAAATTCAGTGCGTCTGGGCTGAGACTCAGTTCATGTCTTGGTTGGCAAAACAGGTGATTCTTATATACTCTAAAATTGGTGACCTCATGTCTTTAGAAGAACTAGATTATATTTTATTTAGGATGGTGGAGTGGTATTAATATATTATAAGCTTTTATTTTCTCTTATATGTATAACACTGCCATAAAGCGTGGTAAGGATATATCAGAAAACTAAAATAGTATCTACTTACTCAAATTTGCTTCAAAGCCAGGCATAGGAAATAAAAAGGGATTTCCTAAGCCCAGAATACAAACTGAGGATTTGGATATATTAGAGAATCAAATGTTTCTCTTAAAGAGACTGAGTGGTCTATAATATGCAAAGATTCTGTAGAAAATTTGCTTAACAATGTATTTTTCCTTCCAAGGGCCCACTGTCCATTGTTATTTCATAATGGGTCAGAAGAAAACTTGTCTCTGACTTTTCCTAATTTTGTAAACCTCTGAGTACAGATGTTCTCTACTCTCTACTCCTGCGTCAAAGCTTAGTCAAGATACAGACGAGAACACGTGGGCAAACACTGGCTGCACAAGTCTGTATGATGTGGTTGCGATTGAGGATCAACGCTCCTGTATAGGTAAAGAGCATCCATTTTCTGTTGGTAGTCTCTCAAATTCTGCTGATTTCAGTTAAGTCAGATTTTCGAAGTCTCCATTGCTCTTGTCTGTTACTACAATGCTGCTATCCATTGTAGTTGATTGTATGCATCTGCCTACAGAGCTGGATTTTTTAATTTGTTGGGTCAGGGACCATAATTAACATCTTCCCCAAAGCACCAAAAGGAGTGTTTCCACAGAGTAGACTCTCAATAAAAGTTCATTTAATCCCTATGCATTGAATTTTTAAATTTATTTTGAATACACTTTATCTGAATGTATATTTTTTTATTTAGTTTTTATTTCAGAATATTATGGGGGCATATGATTTGATTCATATTCTCTAAAATATAATAAAGACTTTTAATTTCCTTATACTGAAATAACTTCTGCAACATCAAAAGAATGTTCAATTCTAATGCTAAAAATGAGAAAAAAATGTGCCTCTTGAAAATGAAAAGACTAGCTCCAGTATGAAAAAAATCTGACAATTGGTTTTTTGAATGTTATACAACAGGATTTATTTGGAGTAGTCATGTTATAGAATTACTGAGTGATTTTCTTGCTCTAATTATAGCTTTCTGCAGGAAGAAATTATTCCATAGATGCTTTTCTATATGCCAATGGAATGAGTTATAAACAAACCTGAATGATCTCTACCCTTAGACCTTCCACCTGGACTCCTCATGTTTATAGAGAGTAGAACAAAAGCATTACCAAACAGTTTTCTCCCAATCTGAAGCATGGTAGCCTTTGTTCTTGCCTTAGCGCAGAGCTAGGATGGAGCTCCTTGTGTGAGTGACATGCACAGGGGAAATTCTCAGAAGAGACCAGTGGAAACTGAGGGAAACAGGCAATGTGGTGGCCACACCCTGGCTAAAGGTCAGGGTTCTTCAAGGGAGGCCTCCATCTCATCTGCCGTAGCCCTGGGGGCGCCTGCCTTTGCCCTCGTCACTAAGGCACACTTGGAGTTGAGGAAAGAAAGCTCTGCTTGCCAGGCAAAGGGATCAGCTGTGAATGGTGGCAGCCAACACTCACAGACACTGGGACAGGTGCACCAGTGTGGTGAAGGGAATGGAAGGGCATCGAAGTATCATCTGGATTGGAAGGCAAGAAGGTGGGCAAAGCGATTACAAAAGTAAGAGGTAAAAAGTGTGGTTGGAGACTGTAAGTCTATAGAAATGAGAAGGAAGTCTATAGAATTGAGAAGGAAGCTGATAGGAGTGTGTGTGCATATATATATATATATACATATATATGTACACACACACATATATACACGCACACACACATACACACACACATTTTCTTAGCAGGAAATAAATGTTTAAGTCACTTGGATCTTGTCATGTTCTGAAGATCCGTGTTTTAAATGTGCAACTAATTATTTCTCTGGTAAGAAAAATTTTTAAAAAGGCCAGATAAAATATATGCAGATGCGGTTGGTTTTAGAAAATATCCTTACATTTGTGCAGATAACCTTTGGTCTTGCCAAGTGTTCCTATTCATGAGGAAAAACAAAGTAGAAAACTTGAAGATCTAAGGCACTCGGATAAGGGATAATACTGGGGCCACTGGGTACAATGATGGTCATTCAGGCCTGAAGATATTCCAAAGGAGTACTTCGAAATAAAATGCCACAATTTGGAGAGGAATTTCAAATGCAAGATGAATCACATAAGTCAGAAGAAAAAGCTGTATGCCTTCCATATCCCAATAGGTAGTACGTATCCCAATAGGTAGTATAAAATTCTGCTCAAGGTCTTGTTAGATCTACATATAACTAAAGAGAATTGTGTTGTCATTAGAACATGTGAATATTTTGAAGGGTAAAATATAAGAAATTTAAAAATGTTTATAATAGTATGAAACCTCAAAAGTCTGAGTAGAAAAGAAAAATTAAAATGGTATTGAATGTCTATAAAACAAACATGTTAATTTTATCTTTTATTAAATACATGTATAGTTTAAAATTCATTACATTTGAACATAACGTATAGATTTCTCACTTTGCAGTAATTCCGTGGTATGCATAAAGACTAAGAAATCCTCACAAACAGCAAATTAAATAGCTACTTTTAGCTAAGTAATTTCAAAAAAAAATAATAAAAATAATATCAAAGAGTTTAAAGCATGAAATCACATATAATATGCAACGTTCTAAAATGATTATATGATACCATGCACGACTTCCCCCAGTTAAGAGTATCCATAGTTTACTACATACAGACCTGACAGGAGAAACGTGGCATGAAAAATGACTGACCTACTTATTTTTCCTTTCTGGTTCATCGTAATAATTAAGCTATGATGCAACCAAGGATTTCATATCTATAAGATAAATCAGATTCGAAGTTTTTTTCAAACTATAAATAAACATATTTATATTTAGTTATATGTGTACATATATGTGATGTATATTCATCTTGAGTTTTCTGTGCTAGCGCCTTATTAATCTGAACTATTCCTGGGTCATCTTACTGTATTGTTGGGGTGGTAGTTGAGATGCAAGCCACTGTCACAGAGAGGAGAGGAGGTGCCGCTGCTCTGATCACTCGGAGCACCTGCAGGAGACAAAGCCATGACATCGCTCTGGTTAGAATGCCACGACACTGCAGACCAATACATGTACATTAAAGTGTCAAGGTAACTCAATAATATCAAGTAAATCAGGTACCAAAGTAAAACTTTATTTTACTATATCAATGCCAGAGTGTTGTAAGTAAGCCAAGTGACTACAGGTACTGGGGCACTAAAACAGACTCACAGATTATTTGTCTTTGATTTCAGAAACACTAAGGCATTATTAAGGAAAATGTGCAATCTTATAAAAAGTAATATGTTTTTCATTTTCCAAAGTGGCCTATACTTATAAACCATACTTATAATAGTGTAAGATTTTTTTTTTTTTGTCTGCAAGGCTCTCTTTACTATCATGTTTTAACCTACTGGCAAATCCTCTTTGAAAAACATAATTTTCCATGACACAAAAACATGTGTATGTGCTCTGTCTTTACAAGTGCTCTTGGCATATGCTCAAGAACTCAGTGAAGCTATATAATTTTGTGAAATTGCAATGATAAATTTCATATTAGATCCTCATGAGAAACCTATTAATATCTATTTTTAAAGATGAGTAATGTGTATCTTAAATTTGTAATTTTCCAAGATTTCACAATTTAGTAAATATTGGAGTCAGTATTACAATTAATTTTTTTGACTTCTGATGACTTGCTTTTTCTAAAGAAATTTTTTGTACTTGCTAATATTGATTAATATTATCTGTAAGTTTGACTTCCAAATATTATTTGAAAGATTATACTTAAATTCAAGCATCATATGTCATAGGGAACAACTACTAACAAAATAACCCATGTACTCAAAAAACAAATAATTTTTTCTTCTCTTTTATAATTCTAAAATTCTATAGTTTCCCTGGTACTAAGAAGGGGATCATAGGCTTTATTGGTATGTTAGCTTGAACACAGTTTTTATACTCTTCAAAGCTTAAGGACATTACACTTTGTTTTAGCTACTTTTTCTTGTAAACTTTATCTGAATTATTAAGGAAAATGTCCAACCTTATAAAAAATACTTCTCTTTTCTGAAATAACATGTTTGATATATACATATTACATTAAAACATGTCCATTTTGAACTGAATAAAATGAAAACACATGTCAATTTCTGTGAATGGATCATAATCAGTCATTTGAGTGAAATTTAAACACTTAATGTAAACACAAAAAGAAGGCAGGAGTCAACTCAATGACCGTGCGTGCATCTTAAGAAGGTAGTAATAGAACAGCAAATTAAACCAAACTAAATAGAAGGCAGAAAAGAAATGAAATAGGAAACAGAAAATAATAGGAAAATTAACCAAGACAAACATGAGATGTCTGGAAAGATTAATAAAATAGTTAACCCCATAACAAAAATAATCTAGAAAAAAGATAAAGAAAATACAAATTAATGTCAGGAATGAAAAAGCAGTCATTACTGAAAGCTAACAGATATTGAAAAAAATAATGAAAGCATATGATAAACAACTTTATGTAAATAAAGTGAAAACTTAGTTGAAATAAACAAATACCTTAAAAAAATAACCAAAACATACAAAAGAAGAAACAGAGTATCAAAATAATCCTATATTCGTTTAAGAGATTAAATGTATATAAAAGAAAAATTATAGTTCTGGGTTCAAGTTGCTTCTCTGGAAATTTATTAAATTATTTAAGAAAGAAATATTATCACTATAAAATAGATTCTTCCTGGAAATAGAAAAAGAGTTACCACTTTACAACTTCTATGAAGACATGAAAAACCTGCTCACTATACCCTACTAAACGTTATGAGAAAAGTACAAATGATGCCCCTCATGAACATAGATAAGGGAATGTCTTTATAATACCTTAGCAAATTGAATCTAGTAATGTAAAAAAAAAGACAACATTACGTTATAATCAAGTGGTGTTTATCCTAGGAACAGAAGTTTGTTTTGACATTCAAAATCAATCTTTAAAAATTCACCATATCAAAAGACAAAAGAAAGAAAATATATACTTAATATTTCAATGTAGATACCAAAAATGTAAGAGAATTCTACATCAACTTATGTTAAGACACAAAGAGCAAAAAAAAATAATAATAATAATTTAGTTTTCTATGAGTAGAGTAGGAATAGTGTACTTCCTCTACCTGATAAAGGGTATCTGTGAACACCTACATTAATAGTATTAATAAAAGGCTGGGCTTCCCCCTTCCCCTTAATATCAGTAGCAAGAAAAGGATATCTACTCTAAACACTTTATTCAGTATAAAGTGGAGGTCCTAACTATTTAAACAGACAAATAAAAGGAATTAAAGAAATTTAGATTGGAAAGGAAGAAGCAAAATTCATTATTTTCAGATGACATCACTGTATATGTAGAAAATGTAAAGAATGTACAAAAATCCTATTAGCATTAATAAGAAAATTAACCTACATTTGCAGCATGTCAATATATAAAAATAAAATGTATCTTTATGTGCTGGCATTTACAATACACTAAAAAACATAAATTACATGGAAATAAATTTAATGAAAAATATACAATAATTGCACATTGAAAAACACTGAAAAATGTGAATAGAGTTGCTTTTCATGAAGGAGCAAAGAGAGTGGTTTCTTAAGATAGAATATACTCCTGGCAAAGATGCTGTGAACATCCTTGAAATGACAACAAAGGATTCAGAATATGACGTAAAATTAGTGTATACAGAAGTGGCAGGGTTTGAGAAGACTGTCTCCAATTTTGAAAGAAATTCATTGTGTGTAAAATACTACCAAAGAGCTTCACATGTTTTAGAGAAATCTTTCATGAAAGGATGAGTCAATAGATATGGCAAATTTCATTGTTGTCTTATTTTTAAAAGTTGTCCCCAGCCACCTCAATCTTCAGCACGACCCTGATCAGTAAGCAGCCACCAACATCAAGGCAAAAGCTTCCTTCAGCAAGTAAATTATGACTCACTGAAGTCTCAGATGATCATTACCATTTTCTAGAAATAAAGTATTTTTAAATTAAGTTATGCACATTTTTACAGACACAATACTATTGAACATTTAACAGACTACAGTATAGTGTAAACATAACTTTTATGTGCTGAGAAGGCAAAACATTTGTGTGACTTGCTTTATTGTGATATTCACTTTGTTGTAGTATTCTAGAATTGAACCTGCAATATATCCAAGGTATGCCTTGTATATGATGTCTACCAGAGACTCACTTTAAAGACACACATAGGCTGACACTGAAATGATAGAGAAAAATAATTCATGCAAATGGTAACCAAAAGAGAGTAGAATGGTCATGATTATTCCAGACAACATAGAATTTAAGTCAAAATCTGTCACAAGAGACAAACAAGGACATTATATAAAAGTAAAAGGGTCACTTCACCAAGAAGATATAACAGTCATAAACATATATCCATCTAATAGTAGAGCACCCAAATATATGAATCAAATGTCGACAAAATTAAAGGAAGAGAAAAATGACACAATAATAGAAGTTAAGTACTCAACTTCTGATAATCTATAGAACTACAAAGAAGAAACACAGGGGAATAAAGGACTTGGACAATACCTATAGACCACTTTGACTTAAAATATACAGGATATTCCACCCAACAACAGTAAAATGCACTTCTTCTCATGTGCACAAGAAATATCCTCCCTAATAGTTCATATATTAAGTCACAAAATAAGTCTTAGCAAATTTAACAATATTGAAATCTTACCAAGCATCTTTTCTGATATAATGGACTAAAACTTGAAACCCATAGCAGAAAGACAATTGGGTAATTCACAAATATATGGAAATTAAACAAGACACTTCTGAACAATCAATGAGTCAAAGAAGAAATCACAAGGGAAATTTTTAAATATCTTGAGATTTTTCAAGATGGCTGACTAGAGATATTGAATGCTAATTCCCCTCAGAATGAAGAATGAAAGTTTTTACAAGATAATAATTATTACCTGAGTGGAATACTGAGGGAAGAGTCCCAGAACCTATCAGAGAACCTAGAGGAAGAAGCTGGGGCATAGAAAAATAAGAAAGCAAGAGTTTGGCAGAAATTGACTACTAAGGAACTTGTAGTCCTACAGAAAGGGTAGGTGCAGGTGGTTTTTGTTCTCTTCACCCCTGCAGTAGACTGCTGGCTTCAAACTTCTGGAAAGTCCCCTCTTCCCTCGCAAGCCCGAGGAGTCCTGTTGGCAGTTATTTTGGAACTTCTTGAGGGCAGAGCACTGGGCTGCCAGCAGGTGCAGGGTCATTCACCTACCCCTGCGACCTGAGCTGAGGCAGCAGCTGTCATGCTGTTCACTCACTAACCATGGCCCTCTGTCCTGCATAGGGAATCTCAGTCTTTGTGCCTGCTCATCACTGGATCCCCTGTAAACAGTTCCAAGCAACTGCTTGGACTACAGCAACTGCCCTAGAGGTCTGACCTGCAGCGGGGCTGCCCCTAGGGGAAGGGTGAGTGCAGTATGAGAAGATACTTGGTATGATTTCATCTTTTTAAAAATTCATTGCAACCTGTTTTGTGGCCAAGCATATGGTCCATTTTGGAGAATGTTATATGTGTATATGAGAATAATGTATATTCTAGAATTGTTGGGTAGAAGGTTCTGTAAATGTCTATAAGTCCATTTGGCCTACAGTCCAGTTTAAGTCCCAATAAAAGGATCAATGTAACAAGAAGATGTAACAATCTAAACATATATGCACTGAACACTGGAACACACAGATTCATGAAACAAGTACTACTTAACCTATTTAAAGATATACCAGGAGTATGATAATAATGAGAGATTTCAACACCTCACTGACAGCATTAAACAGATCATTGAGACAGAAAATCAACAAAGAAAATTGGGGCTTCTTCCAAAAAGAACTCTCAAAATTACACAAATGCTTGAAAATTCAACACTTGCTCCTAAGTGATTTGGGGTAAACGAGGAAATTGAGGTAAATGAGGAAGAAATATTTTTTTAAAATTTGAAATACATATAAACAGA